ACGGGGGTCGACATGGCGGGCGACCTGCGGCTGAAGCACTGCAAGGCCGCGGAAGGGTGCCTCGTCGCCCGGAGCGGCGGCAAGGCGGCGGCGGTCCCCGTGCCGGGGATGGGCGCGGTGGCCGACGTGCCGGCGGACGTCATGTGCGGCAAGGGCAACCGGGTCAGGATCAGGTCCGACGTGCTCGAGTTCAACAAGGTTTGTTACTAGCTGCTGCTCAACTGCACCTTCCTCTCCTCCTTTTTTCTTGAGAGGCCCTCTAATTTTCTACTCATGCCTTAGAGTTGGAGGAGAAGAATTTTGGCTAAAATGATTTAGTATGAAAATGGAATTTGTTGAGCTGTGTTCAACTGTTAGATCTATATGCACCAAAAAAATGTCAGATTGATAAATCAGAGATGATAAAAATTAACTAGTCAAGTCATGAAACTATTGACCAAGATAATTCATTATCATTCTAATCCAGTTCCCTCGCAATCCCACCCGAGTACTCAACTCCTCGCCCTGGTCAAATTTTCCGACCAAACAAATCAGAGCAGCATGACGAATTACATTATCTTGTATTGACTTTCTAGTTGTCTTGAATCCTGGAGTTCTTGACTAAGCCAAACGCGACGGAACAGTTACTACAAAAGAATACACTCTAGCAGAGAATTCATCAAAGTTTAAAAATAATGGACAATGGCAAACAGCGACGGCCTCAAAATAAGACTAAAACCGTTATATCCCGCTATTCAAAACTTTGAATTTTTGTAAGGAAATTAGAGAACGCGTTCGTGACCGTGGATTGAATCTTGACCGCGCGCGCGCGTGGGTGCAGATGACGGAGCTGTTCAACGGCCGGAGCTCGGTGGCGGGGAAGATCCCGTCGGGGCTCTTCAACGCGTGCTTCGGCCTGGACGGCGGGTCCTGGGCGCAGGACGCCTCCAGCACCAAGTGCCTGGCGCTCGACGGCTACTTCATCTCCCTCCTCGACCTCCACCTCGACTGCCGGCCGCTCGCGCTCGCCGACCGCGTCGTCGCCGACGTGCCCGCCGCCTGGGACCCGTCAGCCATAGCAAGGTACTCTACAGTCTACATAGTGTGCAATGCATACATGTGAGCAGCTCCTGCTTGACCGTACTTGGAAACGAATCATGCAATTGACGAGGCGATCAGCTGTGGACGGCGACCTCCTCGTCCTTTGCCAGGATAGTGCAAGGCCGCCCACGACACTCGTGCCCATGTGGTGTGAAAGATCGTATGCGTGCGCGGTGGAAAATTGACGCAGGGCTTGACTTGTTCAAGTCAAGGTCTCGAATTACCTTTCACAACTTTGTGGGGCCTAATAGTATGTGAACCCTGATCATTTCACCCTCGAGAGTCATGGAAGCATGATGCATCAGATGATGTTTTGTCAGTCAGGACTTAGGACTCGGGACTCAGGATTCAAATTATCAGCTGATCTCCACACTTTTTTCGAAACGGAGGCAAAAGATTTGCCTCATCGATTAATTAAGCAGAAGAGAATTGCCCGGTTAATTAAAGAAAAACCGGACGAAAACCGATACAAACTCACCACATGTGGACTACTCACAGAGCATGCAACCCTATAACCACACAACCAACCCGACAACCAAAACCAACACGCAAGGTCCATCAACCCTCACACTCTTACATCGCAAAGAAGACCCCAACGAGAGTACCTCGCTAAATACCATGCTCATCACCAAAATCCACTGAACCATCAAGCTGCTGCGGACACCTTTCCTGTGGCGCTACTCTTCTTTGCATTGCTCCTGAGAGCCTCCTCCACAATCGTCTTGCCAGATCCAGGGCTAGCCCTCTTCAAACGTTTGAGCAAACTGTGAATCTCAATCTCGAAGAGAATTTCATCAACCTTGTCGCGCACAGACGCCTCGTGCCTCACAGCCACATGCGAGCCGGTAACCGCAACGTCGGAACCTCCACGATCCACAGAGGCGAGCGGCTGGCTGGGCGCTGAAGGATCAGGCGCCAACATACTGACCGCCTCACCATCATCAGCCACGGGTACCACTGACACAATGGACTCAGGTGCCACCGACACAGTGGACTCAGGCGCCTCCAGTTGCTCACATGACAAACGAGAATCATGTCCCTCACACGAGGTCGCTGGCGCGTCGACCTCCATATGCTCCACAGACGGAGGCGAAGCTGGTCTCACACATAGTTGTTGAAGCTCGGGCATGACCTGCAGCACAGGGGTGACGACCTCGACGATGGCCTTATCCTCAACAGTAGCCGACACAAGGGGCAAGACAAACACCGGCGAAGAACTGGCCCCAGCACGAGGGGAGAAACAACCGAAGAGCTCCGTCCCCTCGTCTCCCACGGAACCAACACCAGAAACAACAGGAGGTCGCGGCGTCGGAGCAGTCGGCAACAAAGCCGACACGAGGGAGAGCTTGGTCAGAGTAGCCTCCGCCCGCTCCAGAAAACTCTCAACACGTGCCATCAAGCCTTGCAACATCTTGGACTGATCTGCCAGAGTGGACTGTAGCTGATCTCCACACTGATAAACTGCATGAAAACTAACCCCACTCCCACTCTGTGAATCTGTGAGCAGTTTCATCGAGAGGTACGGGACGCACATCGTCGTCGGGGTGAGCATTGGCGGCCAGGACGTGGTCTACGTGAAGCAGGACAAGTCGTCGCTGCTACCGGAGTCCGAGATCAAGGAGCACCTGGAGAAGCTAGGCGACCAGCTCTTCACCGGGACATGCCCCATGCCTCCTTCACACAGCAAGTCCAGAGATAACAAGACCAAGGTCAAGAAATTTTGTTAATTTTCTGACCATCCCAAACTGAAACTATGATTACCTCAAGCGAAATGTGCTTAAAAGAACTCCATGATTATGACTGCAGCAGGTCCCTGAGGCCTTCAACGTGTTTGATGCCCAGTTAACACAGCCGAGGGTTGAAGGAATGACTAGTCAGGTCGCATGCAAAGAGGTACACTGCTATTCCAAGTTGCAACTTATCAACAGTCATGAAGCAGGTCGTCTTTGCTGATTTTCAGCTGATGCAGGGCGTGACAGTGATATACTCCAAGAGGGGAGGGGACACGGCGGCGAGGAGCCACGCCGAGTGGCTGCTCACCGTGCCGGCAAAGCCGGACGCCATCGGCTTCAAGCTTGTGCCCCTGACATCCCTTCTCAAGGGAGTGTCAGGCTTGGGCTTCCTCTCGCATGCCATAAACCTCTACCTGAGATGTAAGACCTCTATCTACTCCAACAACATTTTTGGTCTAGCAGTTTCATGGAAAATCACCAGAGGAGAGAACGTCTATGTGCAGCTAAAAATGCTTAACTATGTCACTGATCTCCAACAGACAAACCCCCGGTAGAAGATTTGAGGTACTTCCTCGACTTCCAGCACCACAGATCATGGGCCCCTGTGCTCAGTGACCTACCCCTCGCTCTGTGTTCGAACCGGCAGGGCGCGAGCCAAGCCTTGCACTTCAGCCTTGTGGGATCAAAGCTCCATGTCAACTCAAACCAGGCAAGAAACCATTCCCCTTTGCTTCAAACCATCTGCAAATCCAATGGAGATGCATGCTCACTCAACTAAATGCAGGTTATCATTCCAAACTTGCCGGTCACCGGGATGAGACTGCATCTAGAAGGCAAGAAGAACAACAGGTAGCTGTGCTATCTGCAGTTTGCTGTAGCAGTATGTTCAGTTTTCTTCTATTGGTCCCGCAAAAAAAAAAAAAAAGTTTTCTTCTATTGGAATGTTGACTGAACATCTTCATGTCATGGTCAGGCTAGGCCTCCACCTGCAGCATCTGGCGAGCACCCCAACGTTCATCAAGGGACGGCGGGACAAGCCGCCGATATGGCGCGGGTCGGAGGCGGTCTCCGACGAGCGGTACCACGAGCCGGTGCAGCGGCGGATGTTCGCCCGCGTCTGCACCGCGCCGGTGAAGTACGATCCCAACTGGTGCAGCGCGCACCGGCGGACCGCGTACGTCGTGTCCGGCGTGCAGCTGCACGTCAGGGCCCACGACTCGACCGCCGTGCTGCACCTCAGGGTCCTGTACACCGAGCTGGCAGGGTACGCCGTGGTGCAGTCCAAATGGGCGCACAACACGGCGAGGCTCTCGGGTAAAGGGAGCTTCCTGTCCAAGTCGTTAGGGGCGGCGGCGTCTTCGGGCGCCGCTGAGAGAGACCGGCAGGAACCGGCAAGAGTCAACGTCGACTCCGGCGTGTTCGCCGGAGGGCCGCCGGTGCCCGTCGGCGACCAGAAGCTGCTCAAGTTTGTTGACACGTCTCAGGTTACCATGGGGCCGCAGGACGCCCCTGGGTACTGGCTGGTCACAGGTGCAAAGCTTGATGTCGAGAAGGGGAAGATCTCACTCCATGTCAAGTTCTCACTGCTGGCTCCAGTTTCTTGACAAGCTGCTCCAAGAACTGTACAGTATCAGACTTGCTATCTTTTGTCATGCATTCTTTCAGAAATTTGTACAGGGAATCAGACCCAGGGAAATCCAATGGGCAACATTTCTATTTCTGATTGTCAGGCTGGAATGTAAATCAACGACGAGTATTGTAATGGAATTTCCAACCAAAACACCATGGTAAATAGAGGAGAGCCAATAATCATGTGAGAATAACAATATATTCACAACCTGGGCAGCGGGGGTATGGAGGAGCAGAACCAAGCAAACACTCTAGCTACATTACAGATGGGAGAAGGACGTGGAGACCCGTCCAGCCTATACAAAAGCATCAGGTGCATCGACGACAAAACGAGGGCGAGCCGTAGGGGGTTAGACCTCGCCTCAGGGCCACCTCCTCTACGGCAGAGAAGCAATCACGTCAGATCCGAGCCTACTGCCCTTTCCCCGGCTCCCAAGATTATCACAGGGTCATCTGTGCTATCATCTCAACCACAAAACTAATACGTAATGGAACGAAACAAATACAGAGCGAAATGGACTCTATGGAATAGTACGCCGCCTCAAGTTAGTGCCGCCGTCATTGGAAGTTGCGTGCCAACCCACTTCGTGTTGCGCTTCTGCACACAAGGAACAAAATTCACTGTGGGTTAGAGGAAGAAACTGTATGAAGATGTAATTTCAGGAAGAGGGTGGTAAAAGATAAAGTCTCCTTAAATTTTTTCAGTTTCACCACATAGTAGTTGAGCTTATAGGTACGACAGACTTGAGAGCTTTCTCCAGTATCAAATTTACCAAGTGGCAAAATAATTCTAAGCTTTTGTTGTAAATGTAGTTCTGTACACCTGAATAATTCACAATTTCACATGTTCTCCTCGTATATTTTTTTAGTGGCATGACATCGTAAGAGAACTAATCACTAAGAGCAAATATGGACATAAAATTGCAGGTGCAACATAACAAAACTAAGATCACTTGGTGATGGAAATATTAAACAGAAATTGCTACTAATGTCACACATGGCAAATCATCATCCCAAGAATGTCATTTGAACTATTTCAATCAGAATAAGTTCCTGAAAACGTTTAAGAATCTGTGAAGATGTACCTTCCAGGAAGCAGTTGAGAACTCCCAGACCCTTTTGAGTTACCAAGCCGCCTGGCTTTGATTTCTTGGTCCTTATCGACACGCATAGCTGCAACTTCTTTCTCCATGGCAGCAACCTCTCGCCTCATCTTTTTAGCCTCCACTTCCATGGCTTTGGTTAAGGTATCAACTTTCTTTGCTAACATCTGCAAGACAAAAGGAGATAATAAATAACTTTATAATGTCCGCATCATGTCCGCACAAACTGCATAAATAAGAAATGGTTGCATACTTCAATGGCATCATCTTTGTCCTTTAGACTTTGATCTTTTTCATGGCATGCTTTCCTCAAAGATACCACCTCCTTCTGCAACATATTATACAGGAAACCAGAGACCATTTCAATTGAGTTGCTATTTGTGGTTTCATTACTTCTCTGATCTGCATTGCTATTTGGACTTTCATTAGTTCCCTCATCCACAGTCCCTTTCCAACCATCATTCGCTTCACGATCTTTAACTGCATCTGTAGATTTGTTAAGTAAATGTGATCCATTCCCATGGACCTTTCCCCTGTCTTGTGACCTAGTTCCACCATCAAATGACTTTGAAGTTCCTTTAGCGTGTTTTAGTATCAAGCTGCTGCTAGAAGAAAGAGAGGATCTTGAATGGAAAGATGGAGATCTCCTTGTTAATAAGCCATTTGGTGAGACTTTAGACACATTATCTGCTCCGCCGAGTGATAACCGACGGGAAGGACCGTTGCTGAAACTCTTCCCTTCAGTAGGCGGTCGACTAGAGCCACTTGGTGGCCCTCGCAGTCCATCTTCCAAAACTTTCAGGCGCAACTGGTATTTTTCCTGAGTTTATGAAGAACTAACAAGTTTAGCCTGTCTGAACAATTCCCTTAACAAGTTCTAGCTCACACTGAATTAAAACAGAACGGTTTGCAAACCTTAAGTTGAGCTTCAGACCGTGCTGTTCGTTCTGCAACAGCAAGCTTATCACGAAGTTGTTGCATTTCACCCTGCAGAAACCCCCCAAAAAAGGTAATTACAGGTTGCCACATATGATTTCAATAAAAGAGCCAGCAGGCAAAACGTTTAACTTCACCAAGAACAAGCATATGCCTGCATCTAAGCAAACAATGCACATCAATAACAGAAAGGCATAAATAAATCCTACTAGTCTCACCTGCATGAATCTGCGCTCTTCAAGCCACTGTTTAACTGGCATCACTTTATCATTAGAATCTTTCCACTCATTTGCTACCACCACAGCAACCCTATTTGCTGTAACTTTCGCACGAGCAAGTTCACGGTCAAGTGTTTTTCTTTCGTCCTGACAAAATCATGAACATAACTAGGTATCAGCCAATTAATATTTGATGGCAAAGGCAACAAATTAAGGGTAGTTTGTTACATTCATCTCCTGCACTTTGCGCTGGTAATCTCTAACAGCATTGGCAGCTGCACCACCTGCAAGAACAGACTCTTCCAGCTCCCTCACAGTTTGACTAAGCTTTTCAACTTCTGCAACCTTTTGGCGATGCAACTTATCCAATATCTTATTTTCTTCCTGCAATGCATAAAGTAAACAATTCAGCATTTTCATAGCTCTATTGCTATATGTTGGAAGTTATTTACTCCAGATGGCCAAGAATACACTACATGCACCCACATACATGACAGATCTCAATTTGCTTCATCAAATCTTGGTTCTTGTTTTGCAAGTCATCAACCATAGCAGCTTTTGCCATTGCTATTTGCACAGTCCTTTCTGCTTCCAGTAGTGCTGCCTCTTTTTGTTTTGTTAGTCGATCCAAGGCTCTATTATCCTCCTGGAGCTTTGCAATCTGAAATCAACCAAGTCAATTTCATAGTTTATCATCTCTTTTGTTCATGTGAATACATGACTACTGGAAAGTTGCAATTAGATACTCCCTCCATATCACAAATAAGTGACATTTTGGACGTTGACACAGCCTTCGAGATGTAATTTTGTCCACTAACTCCTATTGTAATATATGTATAAAAGACAAGAAAAATATAGTGCTCTAGAAATACCTTTCGAGACAATTTACACATGATTTTCAAATTTCCAATATGAATAATTAAAATGATATTCGCAGTCAAGGTTCAAAAAAAATCACTGGAGACATGTCCAAAACATCACTTATTTGTGACAAGGAGTAACCATCTAGGTGCATTGGAGGATGAAGATTGTGGGCTGTTAGGGAGACATTATAAATTCATGACAAACACAAAAATAGAAGGGGGGATATATGAAGTAAAAGTAGAACCTCTTGCCGAGATAGCTTTAGCTCTGCTTCAAGTGGGGCAAGAATGGCTTCAATTGGCGGCATGTCATCATCCTTTTGAGCTGCATGCACTCTTCGCAAAGTAGCTTCTGCCGCAAACTGAGCAGCCATTGCAGCCTTTTTCTCGTCATTTATCTTCTTGACTTCTAGATTCTACAAGTTTTATTCTCTATATTAAAGCACAATCAAAAGACAGAGAATAGCAAAAGATAAGACATAAATCATAAGACAGTACTTTGTTATCTAGGTGATATTCTGTCAACTTGAGCTTCTCGTCCATCCTCTCCAGCTCATCTGTAAGCTGCCACACAAGATTACAGTCATGTTAATCAGAGAAAGTAGGTAATCATCGTCAGGTTTATGGTTAATAAAAAATAATTAGTATCAACAAGTAATTCAGCGTTTTAACTTATGAACTTACACGAAACAGAAAAAATATTCAGTATAATATGAGCTGCAATAACTTATACTCAAACTTGTTTTCTAATTCATAGTTCTCTAGTCAGAGGATTTCAAGCCCTAAGTTTCAATCCATAATGATAGGTTGACAACAAACAAGTGAAATTCAATATAGGTATACACAAGCATTTTAAGTTCTTCGACGCCAATTTATAATAAGAACTCATTGTCCACCAAAAAATATGCAATCATCGATAGTGATTCACATAAAATAAAAGGACTACTAGTGCATTATGACATTCGAATGGTCAAGAAAATGAAAATAATAATCAATAGCACATCATAAATATTTTATATTTCAAAGTTTGTTAACATGAAAGCAGGATATAGTATGCCAATGCACAAATATATAAGCTCCTCTACCTTATCTATGGACCATGGAATGTATTGAAACCCAAGAGTGGAAGAAAGCTGTATTATTCAAGTGCAACTGAAGAACTCAATTCGTGAAAAGCCATGCTACCATATTTGACCAATTAACTCTTGACGCCAAAAAAAAATATTGATAAAAGAATAACAGAGAGCGAAAGTAAGCTATAAGCATACAGTAACCCAGTCATAGTAATCCTAAGAGTTGGCAACAAGAGCCATTAGGCCCTGTTTGGTTCGGCTGTGGATTTCTAAAAGCAGCTGTGAAAAATCTGCTGCGGAAAAACAGCTGTGGAAAATCTGATGTAAAAAATATGTAGGTCATTTGGCAAACCAGCTGATACAGCCTTTTCAGATTTTGGCCCGCAGCGGAATCAGATTTTGGAAAGCACGTCCTGGGCTGATTCTGCTTTTGGTTCAGATTTTGGCAGCGGATTTCTGGAATCGGATTCTGCTGGGTTCGCCCTTTGGTTCAGATTCTGCTGCGCGGCAGCGGAATCTGTCGATAAAAGCTGAACCAAACAGGGCCTATGTCACAAGAAAAGAAAAGCCAGGCACCTCCTATACAACAGTTTGGCAGCATAAGTCCCCGGTTAGCAGAATGATTTCATTGTTGTTGAGCATCTAAACCCATTCACATTCAGTCCTTGCAAATCTAAAAATCTAGTTTGATAACCTAGCACACGGTATATCGAAATGAACCAGAATTCAGTGACAGCACACGCAGCAAGAGCCATGAATTAGCATACTGAAGTGTCCATTCTAAATAAATACAAGACCAGCAAAAAAACGAACAGCTTTATCTTTTTACCACAGGTGCTTCTGGCATTGCTTAAGAATGAAGTCATGGAAATTTGGTAGAGTTGAGCACCGAAATACCACAAGTACAGCCCAGAAAAATACAAGGCACAGGACCACTAAAAAATATGAAGCATGAAAAACAAATGGCTATATTCCATTGCTAAGAACAAGATTAAAGATGGCTGTAGAAACACAAACACCTCCTATACGACAGTTGACAGCATAGGTCCCCACTTAGCAAATCGACTTCATTGCTGCTGAACACCTAAACCCATCGTTGCAAAACTAAAATTTTGGTTTGATAATCTAGCATTCAGTGGGCCAAAATGGACCATAATGCAATGACAGTACAAGGTACCTCAACACCGCAACAAGAGGCTAGAGCCATGCAATTAGCATACTGAAGTGCCCATTCTAACTAATAACCTAACCGAATTTGGCACTTCCCCGCAATCCCTGACATCAATTCCAGCCTAAAATAGCAGATACCGCACCTCCGTACCACAAAATCCCAAGAGCAATCGGCAATTTACCTCCTCCACGGCCTTCTCCCGCGCCCTCTCGGACAGCCGCAGCGCGCGTATCTCCGTGTGCGCCTCCCCGAGCTCCCGCTCCTTGTCTGGCACCACAAACCAGCAAAACAGTCAGACCCTATCGAAAACACCGGAGCGAAACGGCAGGGGCAGATCAGCAGCTCACCCCTGAGCTCGTTCTCGAGGCGGGTGAGCTCGACCCGGACGGGATCCGAGCCGTGCATGAGCGCCATGAGCTCGTCGGCGTCGAGGCTGGCCCGCACGGCGCCCCTCCGCCGCGAGAAGCCCCTGGGCGCCGCCACATTCCCCTCCTCGCCGCCGTCGGCCATCTCAGATCTGAGCCCCGGCGGGCCGCCCCGGCATGCAGGGTCCGCCGCGCCCCCCGCGTCGGAGGGAGCCCTCGCCCCGCCGCGCCGGCGAGCCTCCCCCGCCCTAAGCGGCGAGCTCGGGGAGCGCCCCTGCCGCGCGCCGGGATCGGGGAAACCCTAGCTGAGCTCCGGCGCTTGCTCCTCCTCTTCCCCCCGCGTCACTGTGCGTGTGCTGTCTGCTGTGCGTGTCTCGCTTTTAGTAGTTGCGGTTGTCTTGCTCTTAAGTGGCGCGTTTAAAAAACTCGGGGCAGGGGAGGTCGGGGGGAGGGGCTTTTTGGATTATCTTAGTAGTACTCCCTCCGTTCCTAAATATAAGTCTTTCTAGAGATTCCACCAAGTGACTACATACGGAGCAAAATGAGTGAATCGACACTCTAAAATATGTCTACATACATCCGTATGTTGCATTCCATTTGAAATGTCTAAAAAGACTTATATTTAGGAACGGAGGGAGTATAAGCGTGTCGGGTTTTGAGAGCGATTAGTGGCTTGATTTCTTTTTCATGGAGGAGGATTAGGGTGGTTCACAATGCTATTTTTAGAGACGGAGATGGAGTGTATTGTTACTCAAGTGTCTCCCTCTCTATTGAGCCTTTGTACTTTATTTATTTTTTAGTTTTTTATTTAGGATTTTTGTACCTTAGGTTTCTTTTGAATGGGTGTATTTATATCTTAAAAAAACACTTTGAATATGGAGGGCAACACATGGTAACTTTGGCGGTGGTGCTCTGCGAGCACAAGTCTCGAGCTTAGGTGTGAAGATCATCCGTTTGGACTTGGATGGTTGCACCTGGCAAAGCGATGTTTACGCATCACGTCCTTTGTTGAACAGTTGAAGGTGTTGTTTTCGAGTTTGCTCAGATGTGCATTTCAGGGTGAAGACCTAATATATGATCCTCGGTGGTGGGCCCGGCGACGACTGACGCCTATGACAGCTTCATTCCTAGGGGATTGCTTTTGGAAAACGTTTCCCGTGGCCCGTGTGTTGCCAAGGACGATGGATGGTGTTCCCTTGCAAGTCGCTCATCTGGTCGACTCTCTTTGTTTTTCCTTATTTTTCTAATTTTCTTGGCTTTGTGCATCCTTGATGTCTTGATTTAGTCTTGATATTTTGTCGTCATGTAAGGTAGGTGTAATATGGAAGAAAAATATCACCCTCCCACCCTGCACCCGCGTGCGACGAGGAGGGCAGCCCTAGCAGATGTAGCCAGGTAGTCCCTACACCATGTCTCCTCTCCTTCGCTGCGGCCAGAGGGCGCGGTTGGGACCGGACGCCGGCACCGGCGACGAGGTCTACTCGTCTTCCCCCATGGCTGGCTCGACGCAGGACATTGTCATGGTGATGGGGACTGCTATGTGGTCGCGCGCCAAAGCTTGAAGGGGCAACAGTGTGCCCGTGATGCAACGGGGAGCCTGGAGGTGGTCAAGGTGGTGCATGCCTGACGGGTTGGTGTCGGCGGGCGCAACAGGCTTCGGCGGCGGCGGCTGGCCAGGTTTGGACAGACGGGTGACGCGAGCTACGGCGGCTTGGGCTGTTAGCTGTTGCCTTGGCGGTGGTCGAGGACAATGGTGCCCTAATGTTGGTTGGTCATGGCGACCTTGTGGCATGTGGCTGGCATAGTCCGGGTCTCCGCCTCTCTCTATGGGTGCATGGATCATGGTTTGACGGTGAGTTGGCAGTCCTCGGTGGTTATTGTGGGGGCTAGCGCTAGTATGGGGGCTTGGAGGTGGTGGTGGTCGGCGCGAGCAACGTTGCCCGTCGACCGGACGTGCCAGTTCCTAGGAAGCCCCTGTTGAGATCTGGATGGTCAGATCTGACGGGGCGATGCATGACACTCCCTCTGGTGGTGCTACCAGGAGGTGGCTAGCGGTGCGAGTCTGGTGTAGGACGCCCCTGCCCAGGACAGGCTTTTCCACTCTCGCAATCCAGTGTTGGCTGGGCAGCCATGGCGGCGGTCCTGGATGGCAATGCCCCCTCCGGCAGGCCAAGTGATGGGCCATGAAGGTTGTTGGTGAGGTATTTTGCCTCCACTTCGGGGTGACATTCATGTGTTTTGACATCATCGGGAGGTTTGGAGTGAAGGAAATATGCCCTAGAGGCAATAATAAAGTTATTATTTATTTTCTTATATCATGATAAATGTTTATTATTCATGCTAGAATTGTATTAACCGGAAATATAATACATGTGTGAATACATAGACAAACAGAGTGTCACTAGTATGCCTCTACTTGACTAGCTCGTTGATCAAAGATGGTTATGTTTCCTAACCATAGACATGAGTTGTCATTTGATTAACGGGATCACATCATTAGGAGAATGATGTGATTGACTTGACCCATTCCGTTAGCTTAGCACTTGATCGTTTAGTTTGTTTCTATTGCTTTCTTCATGACTTATACATGTTCCTATGACTATGAGATTATGCAACTCCAGTTTACCGGAGAAACACTTTGTGTGCCACCAAACGTCACAACGTAACTGGGATATTATAAAGGTGCTCTATAGGTGTCTCCGAAGGTACTTGTTGGGTTGGCGTATTTCGAGATTAGGATTTGTCACTTCGATTGTCGGAGAGGTATCTCTGGGCCCACTCGGTAATGCACATCACTCTAAACCTTGCAAGCATTGCAACTAATGAATTAGTTGCGGGATGATGTATTACGGAACGAGTAAAAAGACTTGCTGGTAATGAGATTGAACTAGGTATTGAGATACCGACGATCGAATCTCGGGCAAGTAACATACCGATGACAAAGAGAACAACGTATGTTGTTATGCGATTTGACCGATAAAGATCTTCGTAGAATATGTAGGAGCCAATATGAGCATCCAGGTTCTGCTATTGGTTATTGACCGGAGATGTGTCTCGGTCATGTGTACATAGTTCTCGAACCCGTAGGGTCCGCACGCTTAAAGTTCGATGACGGTTATATTATGAGTTTATGGGTTTTGATGTACCGAAGGTAGTTCGGAGTCCCGGATGAGATCGGGGACATGATGAGGAGTCTCGAAATGATCGAGACATAAAGATTGATATATTGGACGACTATATTCGGACATCGGAAAGGTTCCAAGTGATTCGGGTATTTATCGGAGTACCGGGGAGTTACGGGAATTCGCCGGGGAGTGTATGGGCCTTATTGGGCTTTAGGAGAAAGAGAGAGAGGCAGCCCCGCCCCCCAAGGCCTGGTCCGAATTGGACTAGGGGGAAGGGCTGCGCCCCCTCCTTCCTTCTCTTATCTTTTTCATTTCCTTCTCTCCTACTCCTACTACTTGGAAGGGCTCCTAGTTCTACTAGGAAAGGGGGAATCCTACTCCCGGTGGGAGTAGGACTCCCCTAGGGCGTGCCATAAAGAGGGCCGGCCCTCCCCTCCTCCACTCCTTTATATACGTGGCCAGGGGGCATCCCATAGACACAACAATTGATCTCTTGATCTCTTAGTCGTGTGCGGTGCCCCCCTCCATCATAATCCACCTCGATCATATCGTAGCGGTGCTTAGGCGAAGCCCCGCGTCGGTAGAACATCATCATCGTCACCACGTCGTCGTGCTGACGAAACTCTCCCTCAACACTCGGCTGGATCGGAGTTCGAGGGACGTCATCGAGTTGAACGTGTGCAGAACTCGGAGGTGTCATGCGTTCGGTACTTGATCGGTCGGATCGTGAAGATGTACGACTACATCAACCGCATTGTGCTAATGCTTCCGCTTTCAGTCTATGAGGGTACGTAGACACACTCTCCCCTCTCGTTGCTATGCATCACCATGATCTTGCCTGTGCGTAAGAATTTTTTTGAATTTACTACGTTCCCCAACAGTGGCATCCGAGCCTGGTTTTATGCGTAGATGTCATATGCATGAGTAGAACACAAGTGAGTTGTGGGCGATATAAGTCATACTGCTTACCAGTATGTCATACTTTGGTTCGGCGGTATTGTTGGATGAAGCGGCCCGGACTGACATTACGCGTACGCTTACGCGAGACTGGTTCTACCGACGTGCTTTGCACACAGGTGGCTGGCGGGTGTCAGTTTCTCCAACTTTAGTTGAACCGAGTGTGGCTACGCCCGGTCCTTGCGAAGGTTAAAATAACACCAACTTGACAAACTATCGTTGTGGTTTTGATGCGTAGGTAAGAACGGTTCTTGCTAAGCCCGTAGCAGCCGCGTAAAATTTGCAACAACAAAGTAGAGGACGTCTAACTTGTTTTTGCAGGGCATGTTGTGATGTGATATGGTCAAGACATGATGCTAAATTTTATTGTATGAGATGATCATGTTTTGTAACCGAGTTATCGGCAACTGGCAGAAGCCATATGGTTGTCGCTTTATTGTATGCAATGCAATCGCCCTGTAATGCTTTACTTTATCACTAAGCGGTAGCGATAGTCGTAGAAGCATAAGATTGGCGAGACGACAACTATGCTACGATGGAGATCAAGGTGTCGCGCCGGTGATGATGGTGATCATGACGGTGCTTCGGAGATGGAGATCACAAGCACAAGATGATGATGGTCATATCATATCACTTATATTAATTGCATGTGATGTTTATATTTTATGCATCTTATCTTGCTTTGATTGACGGTAGCATTATAAGATGATCCCTCACTAAATTATCAAAGTATAAAGTGTTCTCCCTGAGCATGCACCGTTGCGAAAGTTCTTCGTGCTGAGACACCACGTGATGATCGGGTGTGATAGGCTCTGCGTTCAAATACAACGGGTGCAAAACAGTTGCACACGCGGAATACTCAGGTTAAACTTGACGAGCCTAGCATATAACAGATATGGCCTCGGAACACTGAGACTGAAAGGTCGAGCGTGAATCATATAGTAGATATGATCAACATAGTGATGTTCACCATTGAAACTACTCCATCTCACGTGATGATCGGGCATGGTTTAGTTGATATGGATCACGTGATCACTTAGAGGATTAGAGAGATGTCTATCTA